AGGTCACCCGAACGGGCTCCCCCTTCTCGCACGGCAGGGTCATCACCACGGTGGCGTGCCAGGGGCGCACCATGCGCGAAGGCGACGGGGCGAGGGAACAGCGCTCTGGGGCAGTTTACGGCCGAACGTTTCAGGCGCGAGCAGTCCGCAGCCAGACCCCTCGGTCTGTGGACTCTCGCCCTGGGCCGCCGGCTGCCCGGCTCGCTGCTCCCTCGGCCGACATCGCCCAGGCGTGATCCTGGACTGCGGCCGCCACGAGGTGGGGAACGGCAAGAAGGAGGACGACGACTGGTGGCTGGAGCTCTACGTCCTGCTCTCGCGCGCCACGCGCCACGAGGACCTCCTGCTCATGCGGGCGCCGCGCATCGAGTTCTTCCTGGCAGGGCCGCCGGGGGGCTTGCGGAAACAGCTGGAGCAGTTTGCTGCGCGCACGAAGCGGTGCAGAAGGGAGGCGACGGCCCTCGCCAGGGAGTTGGGCTTCACCGAGTTTATCCGCGAGGCTTGACCTGAGGAGTGGCCCGCCCGAGCCTCGCCGTCTCTCGACGGCCTGACTGTTTGGCCCCGCGCCGCGGGCGACCTGCGCGCGTCGCTGGGACCCTCTTGGGGCGACTAGCGCGCGTCGCGGGAACTCCGTGCTGCGCTCTGCCCAGAACCTCGCTCGCCCCCGTCGTCGCTCTGCCCAGCGGCCACCGCCTCGTCCGCTATCAGCCAGCCGGCTCGCTCTCCCTGCTCCGCGCAGCGGACGACCCGCGCGCGTCGCCGGGACCCCGTCGGGGCGATCGGCGTGCGTCGCGTGGACTCCGCGCGGCGCCGCGCCCGCAGCCATGGACATCGGCGCTCACGGGGAAAGAGGCAGAGAAAGAAAGGGAAGGAAGCGGGCGCGATCCTCGTGATGGAGCGTGCCGCCATGGGCGTCGACACTGGTGCACGTCGACTCACGCGCGCGCAGACTCATCCACAATCAGACTCCATCGCGCTCAGGCTCACCTCTTCTCAGCCTCTCGCGATGATGATATGCACACTTGCGGTATTCACAACTGCATATGGTTGGGTCCTTCGCCAGGCTATTTTTTCGGGGGGGGGGCGCGCCGATTCCAGGAGTGCTCCGAGTCGGCTTCGCGGAGCGCCACTCCGAAAATCCGCTTCAAAGCGTGGGATTCGCGGAATGCTCCGCGGCGGATTCGCGGGGCGCCGCTGCGCAAATTGGCCTCGAAGCATGCGAGTGGACATCGCTTGCGTCGCACCTGCCTCCAGGAGTCCCCCGAAATGTCCCCCACGATATCCCAGCGAACATTCATGAGGCCCCGCCTCCAAACGGCTGCAAGAGGCCCCCAAGAGGCCCCCAAGATCCCCCCAAAGGCTCAAAAGAGGCCCAAGAGGCCCCCAAACTGACCCCTAGAGGCCTCGAAGCTGCTTCCACGAGGCCCCCGAGAGGCATTCCACGAGATCCCAACGAACATCCAGCAGGCTCCATACCCACATCCCAAGCACGGTGGCACGGTGGCGGGATGGGCCGAAGGCCATTAGAGAGGGAGCCCCAACGATGGCCCAAACGGCAGGGTTCGCTTGGCGGTGCCGCCCCGTTACGGCAGCCCGAGGGCCCAAATGCCAGTTTCGCATGGCCGCGCCGCGCCCATTTCGGCATGCCCCTCACCCGTCTCGTGGGCCCGTACGGAGCTCCAAAAACTGCCCCAATGGCAGGGTTCGCATGGCAGCGCCGCTCCGCTTCGCTACACCCCACGCTTCGTTGCCACACGTGGAGTTTCACCGAGGGCCCCAGCGGCTGTATGTATAGGGAAACGGCCGAGGGACCGTTCCGATACGGGGTCCGTAGGTAGAGGCGAAGAGCAGGACTCCTTTTCCAGGGCACTGCGCAGGGAGCAGTGCACCGTCAGCGTTATGCAAATGCCTGAGCCGATGCAGTTGCGGTATGCAAGGATGTGATTGGGAAGTGAGCGGACTTCACACACACACACACACATCGGCTACACGCAGGAGTGACCCTGGGTAAGAGTGACCTTGGGTGCGCAGCTTCTTGGGGGCCGCGGGGGGACCAAACACAGGCGATCGGGGGGCCCCACTGGGCCCGCACCAAAGGTCACTCCGGCGAAAGGTCACTCTTACGTCTAGTCGAACACAGTGGCAGGCTTCGCATGGCGGCACCGCCCCCATGTCGACACACCCCCATGCGCTTCGTGGCCCCACAGGGAGCTCCACCAGCGGCGCCGGTGCCAGCGCCCGCATGGCGGCACTGTGCCAGTGCGGCACCCTGACGCGCACTCTGGCCCCATAGGGAGCCCCCCCCATCCTTTCGTCCCGCCTGTCTTGCGGCACTCACGCCTGCACCTGCCTTCGCCCGGGTAATTTGCCAGTTTCATTGGTTCGGAGTATTTGGGAGGAGGAGGGGGAGGAGGAGGAGGAGGGGGAGGAGGAGGAGGGGGAGGAGGAGGGGGAGGGGGAGGAGGAGGAGGGGGAGGGGAGGAGGAGGAGGAGGAAGGAGGAGGGAGGAGGAGGAGGAGGAGGCGGAGGAGAGGAGGAGGAGGAGGAGGAGGAGAGGAGGAGGAGGAGGAAGGAGGAGGAAGGAGGAGGGGGAGGAGGAGGAGGAGGAGGAGGGGGAGGGAGAGGAGGAGAGGAGGAGGAGGAGGAGGAGGAGGAGGAGGAGGACAAGGAGGAGGAGGAGGAGGGGGAGGAGGAGGGGGAGGAGGAGGGGGAGGAGGAGGAGGAGGAGGAGGGGGGGGAGGAAGGAACAGGAGGTGAAGGAGGAGGACGACTGTCGGGGCCATCTTGGGGTCGATGGGAGCCTCTGGGCGCCTCCTCCCCGCCCGAACACATCAGGCACGCTCCGCCGTGAAATCGCCAACGACATCGCAGCCCCTCACCCCAAGGCCAACGCTCTTCGGCGGCGAGCGAGGGGGGGGAAGCGCGCAGGAGAAGGCCTTTCTGAGACGGCGGCGGGGCTTCTCCAGAGCCCTCGCGCCTCCCGAGAGGTGCTCTGCCTCTTCGGGGAAGGCTTAGGAACCTTCTCAAAAGGCTCAGGAAACTTCTCTGTTAACAGTTTCTCTCGGAAGAAAAAACGGCCTGGGGAGCTCCGAGCCTCCCGAGAAGGCCGCCCCTTCTCGCTCCCCCCCCCCCCAGGAGCCCGCCGCCGAGCTTCGGGTCGGAGTCTGCTCGCTCGCGGGCACCTGCACGGCCCACGGAGAGCAGCACCTCGGGGCGTCGCGCCGCCCGGGAAGCACAGGGCGGGGCCCACGAGCGCCCGCCGCGATTCCGAGCCACAGAGGCCCAGGCCCGGCGAGGGAGAGGAGGGGGGGCAGGCAGCACGGGGAGGGGCTCACGAGGGGGCAGAGCGGCCTCCCAAGGAGCAGGGAGGGAGCGAGGGACGGGGGGGGAGGGGGGAGCACGGGGAGGGAGGAGGTGGAGCCGACTCACGCCAGGAAGACGCCGCCTGAGGGCGACCTGATGCTGCCATCCGGCCTGTGACAGGCTGCTTCGACATCTGGCGCCAGCTGGGCGGCGCTGCAGTCACGAGTATGAGCCACTGCTTTGCGCTGCGCCGGCAGGTGCGCCAAGCGTGACGCAGACTCGACCACCTTCGATGCGTTCAAAAGGTAGCGCTCGAAACGCGCTAGTCCGCACGCACGAGGAGCGTCGTGAATATGATTCTGGACATGTTGAAACTGTTGAAACTATCCCTAAAGGCGATAGCTCGCACTCACCAGGAGCGTCTTGAATATTATTCTGGACATGTTGAAACTAGTCCTACACGCGCTAGTCGCACTCACAAGGAGCGTCGTGAATATTTTTCTGGACATGGCAAACCTATCCTCCCGCTCGTCGGTGCGGGCCACTGGCTATTTGGGTACAGTCGGACCTGGGCCAGAAGAACATCCAAGGGTAACCTCCCCGGCGTGCACAAGAACATCCAGCAAGAACGAAGAACATCAAGGCACCCTCCCCGAACTGACCCCGATCCTGCAACCTCGGTCCGACTGCATGCCCGAGCACCAGGAGACACGCAGCCTGCGCAGGCCGCGAGGCCGGGTGCGCGTGCGGAGGTCCGGCCGACACGGCCACGGACGGGCCGGGCGAGGGAGGTGCGCCCGGCCACGCGGGGCGGCTGCCACACGGGGTGAGGTCTTCGCGGGGTGGGTCGCACCCGGCTCGCGTCTCTCATCGTTGTCCTTTCCCGTTTCTTTTTAACGGGCGAAGAACGGTATAACATAAACTTTTTCGCCGTCGGGGACACCTGCCCCAGGGCGGCGGTATAAACTTTCCAGCCGCCCAGGGGCAGGTGTCCCCGACGGCGAAAAAGTTTATCTTATACCGTTCTTCGCTCGCTGATCTTTGTCCGCTCTCCAGTGGAGTTCTAGCGCGCTCCCTCAACTGCCTCGCTCACACTGAAGAGGCCCACAAACACACAAACAAATACACACAAATAAAACTATTCCCCATATTTTCCCATATTTTCTGAGTTTCTGTCTTCCCCACCACTTCCCATATTTTCCCATATTTTCCTGGGGGTCGACGATTAATTGTGTCTGTGTGTTTCTTCCCCTCCTGACACACGAGCGACTGCCGGCGCCTTCCCAGCCATACGTGTACCCCTCTCTCTCCCAAGCTGGCCGCGCCATCCGCATCTTGGCGGCGCGCACAAAGGGGGTACAGTCGAAGCGCTGCCATAAGGAACCGTAGAAAAGGAGCAAGGCTCCATTTTTGCCCACAAGCTAACTTCGATGTCCCATAGAAGACCTGAGGAAAGCCGAAGGCAAACGGTAACACAGTTAAGGAGCACTGATCCCCTCCCCAAGGAAAAGGGTTCCTTCTTCAGCGGCCCAGCTGTACACGGCCGTGGAAAGGCCGAGCTCTAAAGAGACACCCAGCCACACGTGCATCCGACTCTCTCCCAAGCCGGCCGCGCCATGCGTATTTTGGCGGCGCGCAGCCAGGGGGGGGGGGAGGGGGGAAGGCCTCTCGGAAGGAGGCTGCTTTTTGGAAGGCGACGGCCCTACGTGCATACACGAAGGCCCGCTTCAGGCAGCAGGGGTGGTTCTGAGAAGCCTTCCCCGCTCCACCTGCCCCCGCCCCTCTGCGCGTGGCCGAGGCCAGCCGCGCCATGCACATCTGGCCTCCAGGCGTTTCCTCTCCCCGTGTCTCCCGGGACCCGCGCGCTGGTCTCTGCGCGCTGGTTTCCGACACCGCGTCGGTCGCTCAACCTGGAACGGGCGCGGCTCCTCCAGAGCGGGGAGGAGGAGGAGGAGGAGGAGGAGGAGGAGGAGGAGGCGGAGGGGGAGGAGGAGGAGGAGGAGGAGGAGGAGGAGGAGGAGGAGGAGGAGGAGGAGGAGGAGGAGGAGGAGGAGGAGGAGGAGGAGGAGGGGGAAGAGGAGGAGCGGATCGCTCCACACTGGCCGATCCCACGCCGCTGGCGGCTTCCGACCTTGAGCGCCCGCCCTGAGGTCGCCGACGCGCTGACCCGACACGAGGCTGCTGCCATTCCCCCATCAGCCCATGCCCAACCCGGGGGGGCCTTGCTTGTGAGAAGGTTCCGCATTGCCGCCCGTCATCGCTTCGTGGCCGACTCGTGCGCCGGCTGGGTCCGGCGAGGTGTCACCACGTTGCCGCCCGTGGCCGCCTGGTGCGCCGGGCGGGCCCAGCGAGGTTTTGCCATGCCGCCGCCCGCGGCCGCCTCGTGGTGCACACTGCTCTGGGGCCCACGCCGGCCGACGCTGCTCGGGACGCCCAGGAGTGCCGAAGAAGGCCCCCTTCGCCCCGCTGTCTGCTGGCCGGAACCAATGCTGGGCCACCTCAGGCTGGCCATCGCTCGGACGTCCATTCCCTGAGTTTTTCGTCGGTCTCGTGCGCGGCTTTTTCGCCAAATGATCCAGGAGATGCTGCTCCTCGATGGCCCTCGCCGGAGGAAAAGTGCACACGTCCGAGCGATGCCGAGCAGGCCGCCAGCCGGCTGCAAGTCGTGCGCATCCACCTTCCGCCTTCCCAGTATTTCCACGCTGCCGTCTGCGGCCGCCTCGTGCGCAGGGTGGGTCCGGCGAGGCTTCGCCGCGCTGCCGCCCGCGGCCGTCTCGCGGCCGCGCCGTGCGCCGGGAGGGCCCGGCGACGCTTCGCCACGTGCTGCCCGTGGCCGCCTCGTGGAGCAGCAGCTGAATTTTCGGGGCCCCCACTGGCAAATCCTGGGCTGCCCATGCCCAAAGGCGCCAGTTTTTCGAGCCGCCGCGTCAAGCAGTGGCGACGAGAAGGCTCCAGAAGGCCCCCTCCCTTCGCCCTCCCCCCCCCTTCTGCTGGCTGGAACCAGTGCAGGGCAACCTCAGACCCTCAACCGGCTCCAAGTCATGTGTATCCAACTTCGTGGTATTTCCTCTCGCGGTCTCTCCTGATATCCCTGAGTACTGGCGGCCCCTGACTCCGCATCCGCCGTACCATGGGCGACTTCGTAAGCAGGACGCACATGCCCGCCCTACTTTTCAAGCTCCTTTCATGTTAGATTTCCGCCCTGATTTGCCGTCGCTGTTTCAGCCGTGGTTTTGCGGAAACGTCCGCATTTTTCTGAAGCGGACATTCCCGCCCTGCTTGTTCGCATTGTCTGGGGTGCATTTCCGACGCAGCTTTGGACCAGAAGTTCAACCCAAAGGCGGCGGATCTGGAGTCACAACCACTCGATGATCCTAAGAACGTGTATTATCGGCACCGTGCGCTTGTCCACCGAAGTCCTCTGCACGACGGCAATGAAGGCCGTCACAGGCTGCGTGCTGCCAGTGGAGCTGGGCGAAATAAACGCACGCGAGCACACGATCGGAGGCCTGGAAATGGGCACCCACCAACGTAGGGGGTTGCCTCCACAGGGGCAAGATGATCCTAGATTTCGGTGCTGGTTATAATATTTCGGCCACCTTGGAAGCCAGAATATTACCACCATCACCGAGATCGGGATCCTCTTCCCTCGGTGGAGGCACACCGCCGATCTTGGTGTTGGTGTCGACCTCTGGGCCTGCGACATCTGGCAATTTCTCTCCCCGCCTCCCCCGACACCAGGAAATTCGAGAAAACGGCGGCGGGCGCGGGGGCGGTCCTGGCCTCCGCGAACTGCGACCGCCCAGCCGGCTCCAAGTCATGTGGATTCATGTGGGCGGGTGCTAATAAGGAGGAAAACGAAGCAGTAAGACACTTGAACATAACCGTTTTGCGCTCTCCTCGGGAAGGCCGCGCATTCTGTCCCTCCCGAGTTAAGGAGGGAGTGCGGGGGCAGAGACTGGGGCCCTAAAGGGGCCCTGCAGGGCCCTTTTTGGAGCTAACAGGGGCCCTAAAGGGCCCCTTTAGGGCCCTCTTCTTCACCACGTGCACGGCCACAGTTGCCGTCGGGACCAAAAACGTAGCTGACACTAAGGAGAGAGCACGATTCCCGAGTAAACTGAGGAAGCCTCAAATGAAACGGCTGCCAGACCGGGTGCTTTAGGCCTCCCCGTCCCCTCTGTGGGACTCTTCTGTGGTCTCTCGTCTGAACCCTCCAGCGAAACGCAATAATTGAAACAGAGTCCCGCGCAGCACGCCGAGGCCGACGCGAAACTAAAGTTGAAGCCAGCGAAAAGGCCTCCAACATCGGAAGGAGGCCTGTGGAGACAACGGCAACTTTCCTGGCATTGTCCATCCGCCTGGGCCTCATGGAAGCTCCTCGTCGCCACGGCCAGACCCACACTGAAAAACAAGTTGGAATAGACCCCCGGCACGCGTCCAAGGACCGATCTTGAGCGCATCCGGACCGGGCGAGCGAGCCGTCGTTGTCTCGACTGGCCCTGCTCCGACGGAGGCCTGATCCTGGGTCCCACGTTGGCCCCCAGTTGTTCGCCGCGAGCGACGGAAGGCGCAGCTGAAAACACTCACTTTCCGCGAGCACAGCAGAGGACAGCGCCAAGCCAACCGAGACGGTGGCTGGTGGGTGGCACGTCTTTGCGTCCTAGCTCAGGATGGTGCAACACCAATCGATCTGCGACTTCAGCGAAAGATGGTCGGGACGAAGGTATGGCCTGCCAGCCGTCCTTCATCAAGACCCGAAGTACGCCTGGAGTGGTAGCATCTATTGCGTCCTCCGAAGGACGACCACCCTCAACGGCAAACACCACAAACTCTGACATTGACATGAAATCCTTATTGAAGCAGAAGCTCCCGGCAATCATCTCGTAAAGCAACATGGCAAATGAATACACATCGACCTTCTCATCATAATGATCCCCATCAATGTCAAATATTTCTGGCGCCATGAAATACCAAGACCCTACCTGCCGTGTCAACTGGGTTTGATGATCTTCCTGCGGAAGGTACCTGGCAAGCCCAAAATCGCACACTTTGGCGTGCACCACATCAGTAACGGAGACGATCGGGTGCACCAGAAGAACATTCTGCGTCTTCAAATCTCTATGCACTATGTTCTGCTCGTGCAAGAAAGCCATGCCGTTTGCAGTATCGAGGGCGGCCTTCAGACGCTGATCCCAGCTGAATCTACCGAGCGTAAGTCTTGGACCCCCTTTCGAAATGTCATACAATGAGCCACCTGGACAGTACTCGACCACAATGGCGTATGGCAGCGCACCAATGGAAGACTCAATGACTCGAAGAAGGTTCGGGTGTTGCTGAACGTGGCTGATCTTGGCTTCCCGTTCAATCAGCTTGGGCGCCACCAGCGCACCATCGTCAGCCACCCTCGGACGGCTGTGCTCGACATTGATAACCTTCACAGCCACGGTGAGGTCTGCATTATCATTGTCGCGCGCTCTCCAAGTCCCTTTGTAGACCTTGGCAAATCTGCCGGAGCCAACGAGCTGCAAGGAATTAATGGGCAGGCCCTTCTGGATGAGGAGCTCCTCTGCGTCCCCGTCCTTGCTAGACTTCAGAAGCTTCTGCTTGCTCATTTTCGCAGACTCTCCTCGCCCGACGAAACCCATCTGCTTCCTCTCGTTCTTCAAGCGTTTCTTCTCCAACTTCCGCTCCTCCCACCTCTTCTTGCGGTCATCGTAATCATCCCGGTCATTGCTACCACCGCCAGTCTTGGAACCGTCGCTAGCCTGGCGGTCGGGGCCGTCGTCAGTGCTGGTGAAGGAGTCCACAGTGCTGGACGAGCGCCAAATCGAGAGTGATTCCGTCATAGACGGCGCGAAGGTGACTGCAGCCATGATGCAGACCGAACTGAATTATTGAACTATGGGCGCAAATCTCGCCTGTCTGGTAATGAATTCGCTGGCATTGTTTTACGCTTCTTTTCTTGAGCCAAATCGGTTACGGAGGCCTCTTGGCCCCTGTGCGGCTCTCTTGGGCTCTCTTCGAGTCTCCTGGAATCGGCCCCGGGTCCGTTTTGGAAATGTTGGGGGACCGATTGGGTCGCCTTGGGCGCCCCGGCGCTCTTTCGGGCAACGGGGGACGCCCTGGGGAGGCGGGAGCCCCCAAACTGTCACTCTGTCGCCCTTGAAGGCGGTGTTGCCCGGGGCCCGAGTCTCGCGTATATGAAAGATGCAAAGGCGCAGGCGTGCTGGTGACACGGCTCATCGGACAGCCGACGCAATGCAACAGGACTCAGGGAGATGGCCAGTTGGGCCAGTCGTTCGCCCACATGCCGAAGACCTGCCGCTCGGGCGCGGAGCCTGCTAAAAACCTATCTGGCATTGTTTGGAACACTCTTGGAATCCATGTGTGCCCTCCTTTGGGGGGCTCTTGGGAGCGTCCTGTGGCCTTTTGGGGGACCCTCGCCAGCTCCTTGGGCGCTCTCCGGCTGTCTTGGCGCAGCTGGGGTGCCCCCAGGGGCTTTCTCCCTACCTAGGCTCTGCTTAGAAGGGTTCTTACCCTGTTAGCTAAAGGGGCCGGGCAATGCTAATCGCCCCGGGCGGTTCCCCCAGTCCCCGCCCCGCGGATCCCCCAGTCCCCTGGGAGCTTTAGCCTTAGCTTTAGCTTTAGCTTAGCTTTAGCTTTAGCTTTAGCTTTAGCTTAGCTTTAGCTTAGCTTTAGCTTAGTGTTAGCTCAGCTTTAGCTTAGATTTAGCTTAGCTTCAGCGTAGTGTTAGCTTAGCTTTAGCTTAGCTTTAGCTTAGCTTCAGCTTAGTGTTAGCTTAGCTTTAGCTTAGTGTTAGCTTAGCTTTAGCTTTAGCTCAGCTTTAGCTTAGCTGTAGCTCAGCTTTAGCTTAGCTTTAGCTTAGCTTTAGCTTAGCTTTAGCTTAGCTTCAGCTTAGCTTTAGCTTAGCTTCAGCTTAGCTTTAGCTTAGCTTCAGCTTAGTGTTAGCTTAGCTTTAGCTTAGATTTAGCTTAGCTTTAGCTTAGCTTTAGCTTAGCTTCAGCTTAGCTTTAGCTTTAGCTTAGCTTAGCTTTAGCTTAGATTTAGCTTAGCTTCAGCTTAACTTCAGCTTAGCTTTAGCTCAGTGTTAGCTTAGCCTTAGCTTAGCTTTAGCTTATCGATCAGCTTAGCTTTAGCTTAGGGTTAGCTTAGCTTCAGCTTAGTGTTAGCTTAGCTTTAGCTTAGCTTTAGCTTAGCTTTAGCTTAGCTTTAGCTTAGCTTTAGCTTATCGATCAGCTTAGCTTTAGCTTAGGGTTAGCTTAGTGTTAGCTTAGCGTTAGCTTAGCTTTAGCTTAGCTTTAGCTTAGCTTTAGCTTAGCTTTATCTTAGCTTTAGCTTAGCTTTAGCTTAGCTTAGCTTTATCTTAGCTTCAGCTTAGCTTTAGCTTAGCTTCAGCGTAGCTTTAGCTTAGCCTTAGCTTAGCTTTAGCTTAGCTTTCGCTTAGCTTCAGCTTAGCTTTAGCTTAGCTTTAGCTTAGCTTTAGCTTAGCTTTAGCTTAACTTTAGCTTAGCTTTAGCTTTAGCTTCAGCTTAGCTTTAACTTAGTGTTAGCTTAGCCTCAGCTTAGCCTTAGCTTAGCTTTAGCTTAGCTTTAGCTTAGCTTCAGCTTAGCTTTAGCTTAGCTTTAGCTTAGCTTTACTGTTACTACTAATGCTGCTTTCCTAGGGGCTCCAACTCCTAGGTAGGGTCGCACTGGGATAATTTTTGTCACGCAAGGTTTCCCTCATGGTAGAAAAAGTGACGACGGGATCGAACTTCGCCTCCCACACCTTACTGTTCGTCTAGCTGGGGAGGATTCACAGTGGTGTCGAGCGCAGAGCAGAGGGAAATACATCGCGCACGGGGCGACAACGAGGCCTTCAGAGCCTGACCGGCAGCGAGGCCTCACAGCCACAACACGCGGTAGCCGGGGGCCCGCAGCGCCCCGCCGAGTCCCGGCAGCGCGGCAAGAAGCTGCGCGTGGACGGCGGGGGGCGGGTTCACGACCAGCATCCCCGATCCCTGCAGGGCCGCCCCGCGCGAGAGCGCACGCTCGAGCCGCATCTCGGCCACCAGCACGCTGCACGCGGTGACGCTCCGCACCCGGCCGCGCAGGCTCGCGACCTGCTCCTCGCCCACCAGCGGGCACCACAGAGCCACGCACGCGGAGGGCGACCTCTGCAGCAGGCGCCTGACGACGTACACATTCCACGTCGCGTGGGACCGGACGGAGTCATACGGCGGGTCGATCAGGACCAGCTGCCGCCCGCCGGGCCAGGGCGGGGGCCCAAGGGCGAGCCGCAGGTAGGAGTCGTCCCGCAGCAGCGCGAAGCGGCGACCCGCGCCCCGACCCAGCAGGGCAACTCTGCGCCTGAGGCACTCGTAGGCATCGGCGGCGGCCTCGAAGAACACGGCGGAGTCCTGTGGCCTCAGCCACTGGCACGCCAGCGCGGGCGACCCCGGGTAGAGGCTCAGAGCGCACGGAGAGGCGCCCAAGGCCTGGTTGCACCTCCACACCACATCCAGGTAGTCTGCAACCAGACCGATGCCAGAACGGTCGGCAGCGTGCGACAGCCGGAGCACGCCCTCCTCAAACCTCCGGTATCGGAGCGACTCCTCGGAACTCAGGTCGTAGACCCCAGCACCTGCATGCGCGTCAACGAAGGCGAATGGATCTGCGACCGCCGTCATCTGCTGCAACAGCGCCACGAGAACGACGTGCTTGAAGACGTCCATGGGGCCACCTGCCTGGAAGACGTGCAAGTATCGGCCAGCGTCTGGGTTATTGGCAGCGGTAGGTTCCACGCGGGCTCCTAGCATCGAGTCGAGCAGGTCCAGTGCCTTTGCCCACTGACCCCACACCTCGCACGCACGGATGGCCGCGTACTGTTCTGGCACAACATCGATCCCAGCATTGTAACTGATTACCTGGGTCCCCAACTTCGCCTTCCACATCTCGCGGATCAGCGACACGCCCTGCTGCCACTGTCTTCCTTTCTCGCATGCAATGATCCCAGCGCCGTAGCTGATGACGTCGGGCTCCACTTTGGCCTCACACATCTCGCTGAGCAGCAACAAGGCCCGCTGCCACTGCTCGCCCTTCTAGCTGACTAGGGCTGACCCGTGGACTCCGTCCACGACATCATTCTGGAATGGTTCTCGGAGGAACGGCGCAGATTGTACCGAAAATCTACAAACACGGCGGCGGCTCGGGCGGCGGCAGCGAGACCGCGCCTTCGTGTCCGAGCTCTTGCAGCGCTCCAGCAGCTTGGCCCCAGCGCACTGCTCGTTCACCCCCCTCCTATTGAAGGCAGTTTCGAAGTCTCTCGGGGATGTGCGTCGAAGTCGGAGCCCATCTGAGGCGTCTCAGGAGCGCCCGGGGAAGGGCTCGGGAGGCCATCGGGGAAAGCCACCGAAAGCGCCGGGGAGGCTCGCAAGGATCTACAGGGAGGGCCCAAGAGAGCTTCAACAAAATTTGAAATCCAGTGAACTCTTAAGAGAAACCGCTGTTGGGTCGGCCATCAGCTCCGGGCACGCCTTGATGGCGCGATCCAGTCGCATCGCCGCCAACGGGAGGGTTTGTTCGCCATGTCCCATTATGTTCGCCCAGAGGGTCTGTGGAGGCCTTCGGGCGAACAGAATGGGAAAGGGCAAGGAATGGGGAAGACATGTCCGAACCTCCTGGGCCCCCCAGGTGCTCGTCCGAAGAGTGCGGAGAAGTCCCTGGGTCATATCGATTGGCTGCTGTCCCAGGGGTCCGGTCTGGTTGGCCCGAAGAGTTTGTCAAGGCCCCTGGGGGAACAGAATGGCACAGCACAGCATATCGGGCAAAGGGGGGCGGTAGCTGGCCTGTCAGACCCGGCGTTCGCCTTCTGCCCAAGCGGCGCGGGGCCCACGGGCCCCAGGGTTGACGGCCCGCTGGGTTTCCTTTTGTTCGCCCACAGGGTTGGGGGAGGCCTCCAGGCGAACAGAATGGAGCAGGACAGTGAATGTGGGAGACTTGTCGCAAGCTCCCAGCCCCTCCCAAGTGTTCGCCCGAAGGGTGTGGGGCCGCGCTTGCTCCCTCAAAGGGCCGTCTTGGAGCCGTCTAGGCCCGTCTTGAGGGCGCCGTTTGCCGTGATGGGGCCGTCTTGCTTCGTCGTGGGCCCCTCCATGGGCCCTCATGGGCGCGTCCGTAGGCCGTCTTGGGCCCATCGGGGTCCTTGTTGGCACTATCGTGGGGTTGTCTTGGAGCCGTCTGGGGCCGCGAGGGGGCCGCCTTGGAGTCGTCTTGGGCCACTCCTGTGCGCCTCCTTGGGCCGTCCTGGGCCCAGCAAGGGCCGTCTTGGCACCCTCTTGGGGCGGTCTTGGGGCCGTCTTGAGCCGTCGCAGCGCGCCTTGGGTTGTGCTGGGTCCGTGGCGGCCTCTGTTGGGGCCTCGTTGGGGTTCCTTGGGAGCCTCCTGGGGCCTCTTCGGGGGATTCTTGGCGGCCCCTTGGGGCCTCTTGGGGGCCTGTTTGGGCCTCCTGGTGCCCTCTTGGGGCGGAAAGCTCGGATTTTCTGTCCGTGGTCCTCCTCTTGGTCCCCTCTTGGGCCTGTCTTCGGGCCTTCTTGGGCCGTCTTGAGCGTCTCTTGGGTCGTCTTGGGGCCCTCTTGGGCTGTTTTGGGGCGATCTTGGAGGCCTCTTGGGCCGTTTTGGGGCGTTTTTGGAGGCCTCTTGGGCCGTCTTCGAGCTTCGGAAAACGGAAAAAAAGGCGAGAAGGCCAAAATCCTTCCCAAACCGTCGTGGAGTGGATGATTTGGGCCGCTCGGGGCCCTCGGGGAATACGCTTGCAGGCCTGGGCTCCTTGAGCTGTCTTGGGGGCCTCTTGGGGCCTCTGGAGCCTCTCTGGAGCCGCCTGGGGCGCCTTTAAGCCCCGTGGGACCTCTTGGGGACCTCTTTTGTGCTCCTGGGGGCCTCTTGGGCCTCTCTGGGCCCGTCTATCGCGCCCCTTGGGCTGTCTTGGGGCCCCTTAGGGCCTTATTGGGCGGTCCTCGGGCCGTCTTGGGGCCGTCTTGGGCCGCTCTTCGGGCCATCTTGGGGTCCCGTTGGCCTGTCTTGGGCGCCTCTGGGGCCGTCCTGGGGCCGCCCTGGACCGTCTCAGCTTCGCCTCCCGCATCTCGCTCAGCAACAACAAGGCCCGCTGTCACTGCTCGCCCTGTTCACACGCGCTGATCCCAGCGCTGTAGCTGATGACGTCAGGCTCCAGCTTCACCCCGCGCATCTCGCTGAGCAGCGCCAGAACATACCGCCAGTGACCGTGCTTCTGGCACGCGCTGATCCCGGTGTTGTACCTGATGGCGTCAGGCTCCAGCTTCGCCTCCCGCATCTCGCTGAGCAGCGCCACGGCCCGCTGCCACTGCTGGCCTTTCTCGCACGCACTTATCCCAGCGCTGTAGCTGACTAGGGTGTACCCGTGGACTACGTCCACTTGCGAAGTGATGGGGCGCTGCCGTCAGGCGATCACGATGGATGGCGTCAGGTTCGCCTTCCACATGTCGCCGAGCAGCTTGAGCGCCGCCTGATTGGGGAGCATGGGACATGAGGAGGCTCGATCGGGCCATGTGCAAAACGCATTGGGAACGGAGGCGCGATGGAGCAGCCGGGGGAGAAGAACATGGATGGCTTCCCATCCACCTCATTATCCTTATGTTGTTCCTGTTCCTCCTCCGCCTCCTCCGTTTCCGTCTCCTCCTCCCCCTCCTCCTCCTCCTCCTGCTCCTCGTCATCCTCCTCCTCCTCCTGCTCCTCCTCCTCCTCCTCCTCCTGACTCCCTAATCATCCTTCTCAGTGCCCTCCTGATCATCCTCGTCCCCCTCATCCTGTCCCTCATATTCCACTTCATTCTCCTCTCCTTCGGGTTCTCCCGCCTGTCCCTCTGCAGCGTTGGAACGCAGCGCGACAACACCCTTCGGCAAGGCGTCAAAAAAAGCGGTTGCGTCGAAAACGTCGACAGGGCCCAGTCTCGCGGTGTCTTCCTAGGCCTCTCTCGGAGCTCTCTTCGAAGTTCCTGAGATCTTCTTGGGCTCCTTTGGGAATCTCCTCGCGGTTTGAAGGCAGTCTCGGTAAGGGCCTCGAGGGCGCCAGGACGGAACCAACAAGAGCTTCGTGGTGCTCGTTTTGAGGGGCGCTCAAAACGAACAGAGCGCGGCCTCTCGCGGGGTCTTCCTAGGCCTCTCTCGGGGCTCTCTTCGAAGTTCCTGAGATCTTCTTGGGCTCCTTTCGGGGGCTCCTCGCGGTTTGAAGGCCGTTTCGGGAGAGGCCTCGAGGGCGCCATGACGGAACAAAACAGAGCTTCCAGGTGTTCGTTTTGATGGGGCGCTCAAACGAACAGTGCCCAGCCCGTGGTAGGGCCTTCCCAGGCCTCTCTCGGGCTCCCTTCGAAGCGTCTGAGATCTTCTTGGGCTCCTTTGGGAAGTTCCTCCCGGCTTCAAGGCCGTCTTGGTAGGGGCCTCGAGGGCACCACCACGGAACCAAAATGAGCTTCGAGGTGTTCGTTTTAAGGGCGCTCAAAACGAACAATGCGTGGCCTCTCGCGGGGTCTTCCTAGGCCTCTCTCGGAGCTCTCTTCGAAGTTCCTGAGATTTTCTTGGGCTCCTTTGGGTGGCTCCTCGCGGCGGCTTCAAGGCCCTCTCGGTAGGGGCCTCGAGGGCGCCAGGACGGAACCAAAAAGAGCTTCGTGGTGTTCGTTTTGAGGGGCGCTCAGAACGAACAGAGCGCGGCCTCTCGCGGGGTCTTCCTAGGCCTCTCTCGGGGCTCTCTTCGAAGTTCCTGAGATCTTCTTGGGCTCCTTTGGGGGGCTCCTCGCGGTTTCAAGGCCGTCTCGGGAGTGGCTCGTTTTCCAAAGGAAATGCCTCTTTTTTCCCTCCTCAGACGCTCCTGCCAGCGCGTGTTGGAGTGTCTTGGGCCATCGTGGGCGCGAGGGGGAGGCTGCTGAGCTTCCAGGGCGCCTCCAGGGAGGCATCTCGGAGCGTCTCGGAGCGGCCTGGGGCAGCCTCGAGGTTCCAGGTGTTCGTTTTGAGGGGCACTCAAAACGAACAGTACCCAGCCCCTGGTGGGGCCGCAAAGAACGCGAGGGCGCGGGGAAAAGCACGCACCGGGAACTCGCAGGGAACCTCGTCAGCAGGAACGTCGAAGTGGCTGGCTTTTCCGAGAAAATGTGTTTTTTCCCCTCCTCAGGCGCTCCTGCCAGCGCGTGTTAGACCGCTCTGGGGCCATTTTGGGCGCGCGGGGGAGGCTGCTGAGCTTGCAGGGCGCCTCCGGAAGCATCTCGGAGCGCCCGAAGAAATCCCAAGAGAGCCCGGAGGAGGCCGCGGAGGGCCGGAAGAGGGCCCCGAGGCGCCAGAAGGGCCGGACAGAGGGCCCGAGGCAACCGAAAAGAACGCGAGGGCGCGGGGAGAAGCACGCACCTGGAGCTGGCAGGGAACCTCGTCAGCAGGAACTTGAAAATGGCTCGTTTTCCCGGGGAAATGCCTCTTTTTCCCCTCCTCAGACGCTCCTGCCGGCGCGTGTTGGAGGGCCATCGTGGGCGCGAGGGGGAGGCTGCTGAGCTTCCAGGGCGCCTCCGGAGAGTCATCTCGGAACGTCTCGGAGCGGCCTGGGGCAGCCTCGGAGCCGCGCTGGAGTCGACAAGAGCTTGCTGGGGCGCCTGGGGAGGGCTCTGGAGGGGCCGGCCCGCGGCCACTGCGTTTCAACTTGGCGAGCGGTGAACGCTGCATTGTAGTAGAGATGACGTCGGTCTCCAGCATTGCTTCCCGCATCTCGCTGAGCAGCGCCAGCGCGCGCTGCCACTGCTCGCCCATTTCACACGCGCTGATCCCAGCGGTGTAGCTGATGACGTCGGGCTCCAGTTTCGCCTGCCGCATCTCGAGAAACAGCGCCAAAGCCCGCTGCCACTGTTCGCACTTCTTGCAAGCACTGGTCGCAGAGATGTAGCTGATGACGTCCGGCTCCATACTCGCATCCCGCATCTCGCTGAGAAGTGCCAAAGCCCGCTGCCACTGCTCGCCCTTCTCGCACGCACTTATCCCAGCACTGTAGCTGATGACGTTGGGCTCCAGCTTCGCCTTCCAAATCTCGGTGAGCAGCACCAACGCAAGCTGCCACTGTTCGCCCTTCTTGCAAGCACTGGTCGCAGCGTTGTAGCTGATGACGCCGGGCTGCAGCTGCGCATCCCGCATCTCGCTGAGCAGCGCCAAAGTCCGCTGCCACTGCTCACCCTTCTCGCACGCGCTGACCCCAGCGCTGTAGCTGATGACGTCGGGCTCCACCTTCGACTCCTACATCTCACTGAGCAGCGACAGTGCCAGTTGCCATTGTCCACCTTTTCTGCATGCGCTGACAGTTGCGATGTATGGACCCGCGGAAAGTTTCACGCCCGATTGAATTCGCTCGCGGAGCAACTGCACTGCTGCGCTCCATTGTTTTTGTCTGACCATACTTCTTGATTGACGCTTCGAAATAGACACCGCCTTCTCGAGTGCCTCGCTGGATATCTAGCATGCAGAAAGTTTAAGCACCATATTCGGCGATTTGAGCAAGAGCGACTTGAGCCAAAATGGCTACGGGGGGTGCCCCCAGGGGCTCTCTTGGGCCGTCTTGGCGCCGTCGTGAGACTCCCTTGGGCCGACTTCGGGCTGTCTTGGGGGCCTCCCGGCGTGCTTTTAAGCGTTTCTGAACGGCTTTGGACCCCCCATTGGGCTTTCTTGGAGCTCTCGGCAAACCTCATTGAAACATGTTGAAAGGAAACATTTGAAGATACAAGAAGCAATACGAACGCCGAACGAGCTTTGAATACTTCGGGTGTTTCAAACCTCCCCTGGAGCGTCGTGGAGCCTGTCTTGGATGATTTCGAACATGTATGTGCGGCTCTTGGGTCTGCATGGGGGCGACTCCGAAGGGGCCCACGACCCATCTGGAACCGTCTTGGCGCCATGTGGGAGCCCTCGTGCGGTTTCTGGCGTCCCTTGGAAGGCCGAAGGAACCAGGACTACAAATCGCAATGGGAACGTGACAACGTGCAGGGGGGTGCCAGGGGACTGGTAACCTGGTTGATTGTGGATTCCTCGATGCTGGTCGACACTACGGGCGCATGCTTTATGTATAATATGTCACTCATGTGTGCTATTGGTGTGCATGCGTGCGTGCGTGCGTGCGTGCGTGCGCGCGCGTGCGTACGTGCATGCGTGTGCGTGTGTGCGTGCGTGCGTGCGTGTGAATGTGTGTGCGTGTGAGTGTGTGTGTGTGTGTGTGTGCGTGTGTGTGCGCGCGCGTGTGTGCGTGTGTGCGTGCGTGTGTGTGTGTGTGTGCTTGCATGCGTGCGTGTGTGTGTGCATGTGCGCGCGACCACGTTTACAATGAACATGTGTAATAAGGACGGGTGGCACGGAAGCCAGACCCTTGGAGCCTGAAGTTGGGATTTTGTGGGCGACGGGCGACCAAAACTCTATGGACGCAAGGGTACCCTAACCCGCTCCCATCCTTGCCGATTTGGCGTCGGGGCCCAAAGCAAAAACAACGCAAGGACGCAAAGGCTACCCTCAGAATCCGCGCGTCCCTCTGGGCATGACGCCAAAATCAAACGGCGCCTGCCCGGGTGGGCAAGACTGCAGGCCAGCCCGCGTAGGCCAGCCTTTGCATCACAGGATGGGAGATCGTGGCACCCCCCTCTCAACGTCTGCGTGCGCATACCGCTGGCAGTCTACACACGCCACTGCTTCAACATGACTTCGCCACTTGTCTTTTTCTTGCACGGGCCACTCGGCGTGCGCAGACTCTCCTTCTCTTCTGTCCCAGAGGCTTCTGTGAGCAGTCTGCCCACGAAAACGGACTGGTCGCACAGAACGCACTCGACAGAAGCTGCTTCTAGCACGAGGCTCCAGGCACCGCGCGTTTTAACGTTTCTGTCCCCACATCTCTGGCGCCTTACACTAACGGATGGCGGTGGGGAGCATCTCTCTGTTGGCGGCGGTGACGGAGGGGTGCACTCATCTACGGCTTGGGGTCAACCGAAAACCTGGCCAGCAACCCTAGAACGCCACAGTCAAAGCGGCGCCACTGCACTCTCTTTCTCTTTTGCCTTTGCACTGTTCGCAGCACGTACCTGATGAAATATGGCATTAATCATTCATCAATTCTACTTTTTGGGGCATCTCCACTACTATATATAATAGAAAGAATTCGTTTTCTAAGAATTGGCGTCGCCAAGCCCCCGGCCAATCCCAGCAAACCCTTACGAGCAACGCAATGCCAACTCATGCGACGACGGACCCGGCCAATCTTCCTGGCCAACCTCCGGAGATCGGGCCAACCCTCCCAGCCAACCCCCTCCCTCCAGGACCAGGAGGATCAAGATGAGGATGACGAGGATGAGGAGGAGGAGGAGGAGGAGGAAGAGTAGGAGGAAGAGGAGGAGGATGAAGATGAGAAGGAGGAGCAGGAGCGGGAAGGAGAGATGCGGCGGGATAGTAAAGCGGAGGTGTAGCGGAACGGGGGAGGGCGAGGGCGAGAAGGATAATGACATGGATGCGGAGAAGGAGGAGGAGGAGGACGACAAGGATGAACGCAGGCTCGACGACGACATGAGAGGGAGGACGCGCGAACACTCTGAGGAGCCACCTTGGCTCAACAAATGCCGTTCGGGGATACTAGACTCTGGATACAGTTTACATTGGTTCGGGGTGCTCGGGAGACCTACTGGGCCCGCCCGCATCCTCTGTGAGCCAGCTTGGGGTCACTGGGATTACGTCGGGCGTGTCCTCCTACAGGGGGATTTTGGGCGAAAAATAAAACATTCCACAACAAACCCCAAATGCTCAAACATACCCAAAAAATACACCCCCAAAAAAATACACCCAAAAATAAAGCATACCAGACAAATACACCCAACATGCTCAAACATTGTCAAAACATCGCCCCCCGACTCAACACTGGCTGGAAACCCCTTGGCCCCGTCTCCCCGCTCGGAACACGCTAGACACGTTCTGCGATGCGGTCGCCGACAACGCCGCGGCCCCCCACCCTCTTTCTCCTCCTCTTCCTCCTCCTCCTCCTCCTCCTCCTCCCCCTCCTCCTCCTCCACCCCATGGTCAGAGCTTTGAATCAGACTCAGCTCGCTCACGGGTGATCCAATAGCGCATCGCTGGCAACTTCTTGCGGCGTCGCGAGGGGGCACAAGAAAGGAGCAGGGGACAGAGGATCAGGAGGAAGAGGAGGAGGAAGAAGAAGAACAAGAAGAAGAAGAGGACGAGGAGGGGGCACAAGCGAGGAGCACGAGGAGCCAACTCAGGCCAGAGCGGCGCCGCCTGAAGACAGCCTGGTGCTGTCATCCAGCCTGTGGCAACCTGTAAAGACATCTGGCACCAGCTGGGTGGCGTTGTAGTTGTGAGTCTGAGCCACTGCTTTGCGCTGCGCCGGCGGGTGCGCCAAGCGTGACGCAGACTCGACCGCCTTCGATGCGTTCAAATAGTAGCGCTCGAAACGCGATAGTCCGCACTCACAAGGAGCGTCGTGAAAAAAATTCTGGACATGCTGAAACTGTTGAGACTATCCCTAAACGCGTCGATGCGTTCAAACAGTCCAGTTCTATCAGCACTACATCGCGCTCACCAAAAGAAAACTTAAACGAGCCACCGGCTCACTAGCTTCCTGCTCGCCGGTGAGGGCCCCTGCTTACTCCCCACATGATTCGTACTGTTCTGGGTTTCTTCCCACCCGCATCGCGCCCGCGTCCCCTGCTGAGGAGGAGGAGGAGGAGGAGGAGGAGGATGAGGAGGAGGCCCCCCTCGCCCTCCCGCACTCCGAGGGAGCGCGATCCACCGTCGCCGGCCTGCCCATTTTCTCTAAGGGGCGCTCGAAAACCAGGGGAGACCTCCCCTCTGGCCATCGCTCGGACGTCCATTCCGTGTGCTTTTTTCGGTTTCGTGCGTGGCTTTTTCGCCAAATGATCAAGGATGCTCCTCGATGGTCCTCATCGAAGGAAAAAATGCACGCGTCCGAGCGATGCCAAGCCCTTGAAAACTCGGGGGTGGAAACCAGGGTGCCACGGAGCGCGGGAGGGGTGTGCCTGATCGGACTCTAGCACGCCGTGCGGACTGTGCCACTGGGGCCTTCGGGGGGGGCTCCCTATGGGGCCACGGAGCATGTGAGGGGTGTGCCGAATCGGCATGCGGGCACGCCATGCGGACTGTGCCGCTGGGGCCTTCGGTGGAGCTCTCTATGGGCCACGAAACGTGTGAAGTGTGTGCCGAATTGGATGCGGGATGCGGGTACGCCATGCGGACTGTGCCACTGGGGCCTTCGGTGGAGCTCCCTGTGGGGCCACAGAACATGTGAGAGGTGTAGCAAATCGGATGCGGGTGCGCCGTGCGGACTGTGCCTCTGGGGCCTTCGGTGGAGCTCCTATGGGGCCACGAAGCGTGGGAGGGGTGTGCCGAATCGGATGCGGGTACGCCGTGCGGACTGTGCCACTGGGGCTTTCGGTGGAGCTCCTATGGGGCCACGAAACATGTGGGGGGGTGCCGAATAGGGTGCGGGTACGCCATGCGGACTATGCCACTGGGGCCTTCGGTAGAGCTCCTATGGGGCCACGAAACGTGGGAGTCGCGTTCCGAAATGGACATGCTGGGGGCAGAGGCAGGGAAAGGGGGGGAGGAGGGAGGGGGAGGAGGAAGAGCAGGAAGAGGAGGAGGAGGAGGAGGAGGAGGAGGAGGAGGAGGAGGAGGATGGGGAGGAGGGGGAGGAGGAGGGGAGGAGGACGAGGAGGAGGAGGAGGAGGAGGAGGAGGAGGAGGGAGGAGGAGGAGGAGGAGGAGGACGACGAGGAGGAGGAGGAGGAAGGAGGATGGAGGGAGGAACGCGGGGCGCTCTCTCTCTTCAAGACGAAGAAGACCCAACACCACAAGGTGGTCGGGACAAACAACCAAACTGCGGCGGATCCGGGGTCGGGGCCACTCAATGATCCTCTTAGTGTGTGCTAGCAGTTGGCGCCACCCTGTGGGTTGTCCACAGAAGCCGTTTGCACGACGCCAGCGGTGCAACGAGGGCCGAGGCAGGCTGCGTGCTATATCGGTCGAGCGGAGCGGGGCAGACGCGCGCGAACACGCGTGGCGGACCCCAGAAACCCGGAACCCAAAAATAATTGCCATCTCTTGGGAGGCCGACTTCTACTTCCTTAGGTCACT